TATATATATACGTGTATCGTATAATGATGAGTCTTAATACCCACACTATAAGTGAATTAATTCAATCTGCCATACATATACTGTATTTTATATTATTTTGATTTTTGGCACATCTCAGCTACTTTTTCGGCAATAATAATGTAGGCATTACATTTTTCTTATTCATAATAATGAATATATTATACATATTTTAATATTGTCTAGGCTCATAAGTAAATTGAATTTTTTGGCAGATGATAGTTTTCATTTGTTTTCAATGCCAAACAATGCCTCAAATATTTTCAATGTCAAACAATAACATGGCGTTTTTTGCAATTTTTTTCATTTATTTCTACTATATTCTACTAAATTCCCTTAACAAACTTCAGAAAGATTTATCAAAATCCGAATAATCGTTTAGGAGGAGTATATTTACATACATCATTACAGAAGAATTTTTATATATGATATGTTAGTCCTATTATATTATGTGTCTATTCCCCCCCTTAGGTCGATATGCTCTAGAAGTGGCAACCAAAGTCCTCCCCTACTACAAAGACTACTTCCAAATTGCTTACCCGCTTCCCAAAATCGATCTAATTGCCATTGCTGACTTTTCGGCTGGTGCTATGGAGAATTGGGGTCTTGTTACATATAGAGAGACTGCAATTTTGATTGATCCCAAAAATTCATCTGCACAAACCAAACAGTGGGTTGCTCTGACGGTCGGTCATGAAATTGCTCACCAATGGTTTGGTAACCTGGTTACCATGGAGTGGTGGTCTGATTTGTGGCTAAATGAAGGTAAATAGTAAAAAGATACTTTATATTTTTAACTTTTAATAGAGTAAGTTATTGTAATCGTCGGAAATAAAAATTGAAAATTGTTGCTTATCTTGGAAAAAATAGACGCGTATGTATTTTTTTTTTTGTACAGCTTTTATGCATCCCAGACTAGGTCTTTTGTCTGGGTATGTCGGACTCAATACCGCCTGGGTATAATACCGACTAAAACGGAAACCGACGTTAGGCTTTACTTCGTGGGGGGAGGTTCTAGAATGTTATCATTCTTAACTTGATTGTGTGTATGTGTGTGTGTGTGTGTGTGTGCAGATACAAATTTTCGTCGACGATTTCGGGAACAAGGTTTAACCGATTTCAACATTCGATTTCTGTTGATAAGGAGGCGTGCTGATTAGTTTTTGTCAAAGGCAGGTCTTGCCGTTCCAAGATGCGGGGTAAAAAGTGCGAAAAATGGTAATCCATTTTTTGAGAGAACGGAGTGTCCGATTTTAATAATTCAAAAAACATTTTATTTGTGTTGACAAAATGAACTGATTACATTTTTGGGAAGGCAGGTCTAGCGGTTTCGGAGATCGAGTAAAAAGAGTAAACAAAAATGCCATTTGGCGCTCAAAAATGATCTTTAGACATATGTACATCAAATTATCAGATATTTTAGAGATTTTAAAATAAGTAAAAAATTTATTCACATTTCTATGAGTTTTGTAACATTGCTTATCCGTTAGACTGCGACGCAGCGCTTACGCGCTTCAAAATTTATCTCTATTTGAAAAAATAGTTCAAGATTTCAGAAATATTTCAAAATATAAAAAAAACGTTTTTTTAAAAAAGACAATTGCAAAAATTTCAAAATTCTCAAAAATCCATTTTTTTTAAAAAAAAAATAATCTTTATTATAAAATTTGATTTTTGGTACAGGAAGTTCCAGCAAGTTTTTTAATATATTTTATTCACTATTTTAAAAAATTAATGTATATGTAGATGTATGTATGCGCGGGTACAATTTTTTGTCGAACATTCGATTCATATTGACGGCGAGACGTGCTGATTAGTTTTTGCGAAATGCAGGTCCTGCTATTTTGTAGATACGGGGCAAAAGTACGAAAAATTTAAATTCAGGTTTTGAGAAAACGGAGCGTTCGATTACAATCATTCAATGAAACTTTTTATATTTGTTTTTTTTTTATTATATTTATATATTACTCTTACAAAGCATTTTAATATTAGAAATTGTTATTCAAGTTGTTATACAATGCTAGTATTGGTTTACTATGAATATATAAATATTTGTAATTATAATTGCTCAAGTTAGCCTTATTATTTCTTTCCAAATATTTTTTATTATTTTATCTTATTCTATGTAATTGAATAAAATTGTTACATTCTATATTGTTATTTTGTGTTTTTAAGTGCATTATGTTTTATGCTATATATTGTAATTTATCCATATTTCATGTATAATAATAGTGTTTTTAAGTTCTGTGGGTTCTATTCTGTGGGCTATGGTGTTTAAAAAATAAATAAATAAAATACATAAAAAAAAATTATTTTTTAGGTTATGCATCGTTCGTAGAATTCTTATGTGTCAACCACATCTTTCCTGATTACGATATCTGGACGCAATTTGTTACTGAAACATTGATCTCTGCACTCGATTTGGACTCTCTTGCCAGCTCGCACGCTATTGAGGTAAATTCACCATCATCAATAATATTAACATAATAATGTTTACAAAATACATTTATTGTTATCCAATTTTTTTTTAATATTTCTGAATTAAAATTCTATTATTTTTTACCCAGGTGCCTGTCGGTCATCCATCAGAAGTTGATGAGATCTTCGACGAGATCTCCTACAGCAAAGGCGCTTCCGTGATTAGAATGTTGCACAACTATATGGGTGATGAAGATTTCAGAAAGGGCATGAATATTTATTTGACCAAGAATCAGTACAAGAACACATTTACAAAAGATTTGTGGACGGCTTTGGAACAAGCCAGTGGAAAACCTATTGGTAAGTGGGAAATGATAGAAATGAATAGAAAAACCAGAATAATTATTATTAAATTGTAAAAAGTAGAAAATTTGTGGGGGTTGTTTATGGTTAATGTACTACTTGTTTTTAGAAGCTGGGACAATTAATACAAGCTAAATTTTTTCAGATATTATTTAATAAATGGTTCTTTACCTTTTTTCAGGTGCTGTGATGTCTACATGGACGCAGCAAGTTGGCTTCCCAATGGTGTCGGTTACAGCTAAACAGGAAGGTTTCAACCGTGTTCTGACATTGACACAAGAAAAATTCTGTGCTGATGGCAGAAAGGACGATAAGAATACCCAATGGATGGTTCCCATCACTGTATCTACCTCAAAAAATCCTAAACAGGTAAAGATTTATTACATACATATACAAAGGTTTAAATTTATATAATTAACTTCTTGTAGAGCAAGTTGTGGTAATTGTAAAAAAATTGGAAATGAAAATTTTTATAAGTCTGCAAAAAATGCTTCTACAAAGAATTTCGTAATTTTGAGAACTTTCAAATAAAAATTTTAAATTTTCAGAAAATTCGATTTTCGAAATTTTTCATCATTTTCAAAAAAAAAACTAAATTTCGAATCATTTAAAAAATATCAGAATTTAAAAAAAATCATTTTTTTACGAAAATTTAAGATTACTTCAAAATTTAAAAAAAAATCGAATATTTTCAAAAATTTCCAAATTATCAAAAAATTTAAAAAAATCGGACCTTCAAAAAATTTTCAAAATTTTGAAAAAAAACTCTAAACTAGCTGTAAGTGGAATTCTGTCTTAAGGCAATTAAGGCATCATGCCTTGAGGCAAATTGCTGGAACTTCCCGTACCAAAAATTATTTTTTTAAAAACAATTAACATTTTTGAAAAAAATTTTACTTCGAAAAAATAAGATGTTTGAGAAACTATACATTGAACAAAAAATTACTTTTGAAAAAAAAATTTAAAATTTTTTTTTTTTTTTTAAAAAAAAATTTTTTCTTTATTTTGACATATTTTGGAAGATTTAAACTTTTTTCAAAGCAATCGTACTGCTTTAACTGCATAAAGACGAAATATGAAAGCGCGTAAGCGCCGCGTCGCCGTCTAACGCGTAAACATTGGTACGGAACCCATAGGAATTTTAACAAATTTATACTTATTGTTAAAATCTCTATGAAATATCTGATAATTTGATGTGCATATGTCTAATGATCATTCTTGATTGCCAAAAGTTTACTAGATCTCCGAAACCGCTAGACCTACCTTCATGAAAATTTGATCGGTTCTTCACCTTGTCAATACAAGTAAAATGTTTTTTGAATTATTAAAATCTGACGCTCCGTTCTCTTAAAAACTGAGTTACCGCTTTTGGCACTTTTTGCCCCGTATCTTCGGAACGGCTAGACCTGCCTTCGCCAAAAACTAATCAGTACGTCTCCTTATTGATACGAATCGAATGTTCTTTGAATTATTCAAATCGGTTGATCGGTGTTCCCGAAATCGTCGACGAAAATTTGTAACCGCACATACACACACACACACACACACACACACACATACATCCATTTTTTCTGAGGTATGCCAAAATATTCAGAAACCTTTGAAACGCCGAGAAATGCAAAAATTTTCATTATCGATTTTTTTGCGATTACTATAACTTGCCCTACGGGAAGTTAATTATCAAAAAATCTAATTTAAAGGAAAATTGAACAAATTTCTTGTAAACATACACTTGGGCTCACCGCACAATTTAATAAGCACTTATAAACTCACAGTATGTATCTATAATAAATAATCTATTTGAAATTATTCAAAACAATTATTGATTATTTTCATTCCTCGAATGTTTAATTACCAAGCGGGAAGTTTCAGCAATTTGCCTTAAGGCACGATGCCATACACAACACTAGTTCTATTCATCCTTTTCCTTTCCCAGGTGGCTTTATCAACAATGCTGGATACTCCTTCGACGACCCTGACAATACCCAATACTGCTGAAGGCGAATGGGTCAAAATCAATTCAGGAACCGTGGGATACTACCGAGTTAAATACACACCGGAAATGTTGAGACAATTAGAACCAGCTATCAGAAGTGGTGCCTTACCACCCTTGGACAGATTGGGACTTCTGGATGATCTGTTTGCAATGGTTAAGGCTGGACACTGTTCTACAGTACAGGTAATAAAAAATACATATATTAAATTTAACATGAAATTATCTCATGGCTTTCATATTTCCATTATCCTTTACCCCTTAGGTGCTGCAACTGTTGGAGGCCTTCACAGAAGAGACCAATTACACGGTGTGGTCTTCAGTCACTCATGTTGTGTTGGCCCTGTCCGGTCTGATGTCCCATACAGATCTTCGAGATGCTTTCGATGCCTACGCTTTGAGAGTCTATAAGCAGATTTCGCGCAAAGTCTCATGGGAGGGCGTCAAAGGCGAGAGTCATCTCGATACTTTGCTCAGGAGTTTGGTTTTGAACAGACTGGTTGCGTTGAATGATGATGGCACGGTTAAGGAAGCCAAAACAAGGTGAGGGATATATATATATATATATATATATATATATATATATATATATATATACTAGATGACCCAACAGACGTAATTCTATACCCACGTCTACAATTTTTTAATGTCTTATACTAATATTTACTGTTTACCTAAAAATAATAATTATTGTTTTTTAAATTACTCTTCACACCAAAATGCATAAACATTTATAACATGAGCGATGTTAAATGTAGAACTGCTTTAAATAATGATGAGTCTCAATTCCCACACTATATTGAAAATTGAAGTTTTTTAAACGGCATAACAAATTAAGAAAAAAATATTATATAGTATCCGCGGTAAAAGTGCAATATTACCTTGGATTTTGGCATTCAAAATAATTGTTACAATAATGTTGCATATATTTTTTATAATCTCATATCATATTTTAACTGGTTTATAGTAATTATAATATATAAATTACATTTTTGTTAGTAATAATTTAATATAAATTATTGCCAGGGACGCTCCTGGGATCCTTATAGCCAGCCCGCATGCCATTTTTTTAAGCGGCCCCCCCACTTGTTATTTTACCCGTTTTAACATTTTATTAATAAAATTATTATCATTAATTAATATTTGGCTCTTGAAACATTTTACCCATTTATTTTGGGCATTTTATGCGATTTATTTTATTGAGGAAATCATAGAGAGCAAAAAAAATTCTAGCCTTTCATTATTAAACACAACCATAACATAACACTGGTACTTCCTGTTGGATTGTTTTGATTTTATTTCTTATTATTTAAGATATACAAAATTGCATATATTAACCTTTTCCCCTCGGATACCGCAATTCGCGAGTGGAAAGGGTTAAACTTCTCCTAATTGATATCGTAAGGGCCACATTATATGTATTCATCTTTACCTTCCCATTTATTGTTTTAAAGTGAAGTTTTTAACATATTTTAAAAATATTGTGCAAAGAATAGTAAAAAATGCAAAGAAACTATATATTTCTTAAATGATATTGAAAAAAAAAACTATATTGAAAATTTCATATCCGAATCTTGTGTTGGCGCCCCCTAAAGCGGGCGCTCTTATTTTTTGCATGCATCCCATTAAAGGTAGGACCGGCCCTGATTAATACTTAATTTCATATTTCAAGTGGATTAATTTGTCATATCCTGTTCATATGTGTATCATTCAGTCCGCCATTCATATACTGTATCTTATATTATTTTAATTTCTGGCACATCTCAGCTGCGTTTCGGCAATAATAATGTAGACATTTCATTTTTCTTTTTCATAATCATGAATTTATTATACATACTCTAATATTGTCTAAGTCTCCTATAATTTATAATGTCTCAGATAATTTCAATGTCAAACAATATGTCGTTTTTTGCAATTTTTTTCATTTATTTCGACAATTTTAATATATTTCTATAATCTCATACATCCTAAAAATTATTTATTATTTATTTATTTAAATTTATAATATTATCTATCTATATTACTTGATGTTAATAAATTAGCAGTTGTAATAATTATTGAAATTAAAAAAAAAAAAAAAAAAAAAACCTAAAAAATCCCTTAACAAACTTCAGAAAGATTTATCAAAATCCGAATAATCGTTTAGGAGGTGTATGTTTATATACATCATTACAGAAGAATTTTATATATATATATATTTATTTATTTTATTTATTTATTCATAAGCAAGCCGTCAATCAATAATAATAGATATTATTTCAGGCTCTTGTCAAGTATAATATCAAGCGTATAATATAGATGGATAATATGTTATTGATATTTATTTTTTTACAGATTTGAAAACTATCTATCTTCCAAAGCCCCCTTGGTGGCGGATCTCCGCAACGTGTGTTACCGGGCAGTGCTCCAAGACGCCGACGAAAAAACCTTCAATAACATGCTTGCAGAATACCGCAAAGCTGATTTGCACGAGGAAAAAGTTAGAATCCTGCGAGCTTTGGGCGTGATCAAAAACCCAGAACTTTTATCCAAAGTATTACAGTTCAGTTTGTCTGAAGAGGTCAGAACTCAGGACACTGTCTTTGTCGTTATCTCAGTAGCCTCAAACCCAGCAGGCCGAGAGCTGGCATGGAAGTTCTTCCAAGATAACTTTAAACTCCTAAACGAACGCTACAGCGGCGGTTTTCTGTTAACAAGGCTCGTGAAATATTGTACAGATGGTTTTGCTTGTACAAAGAAGGCTGAGGTTATCGAGCAGTTCTTCAAGGAGCACCCCGTTCCCGGTGCTGAGAGGACGGTGCAACAGTCCATCGAGACTATTCATTTAACTGCAGGCTGGTTGAAACGTGATGTTCCTGCAATAAGAGAGTTTTTGAAGACGCATTAATAAACGATGTAAGATGTTTTTTTATTCTTAGCGATAATAATAATTAGTATTAAATTGTTTATTGTAAGTACACAAATTACCATCAAGTACAATATAGAAATGTTTATATGTTGTTCGTTTTCTAACAATTCAAAGTGCATTTACTGCTGTTTGAGCTGTGATGTTTTATAGAGCCAAAAAGAAATTTAAAACAAATTCTCATGATTATTATTTTTTATACTGTGGGATGGATCACATCTTGTCGCACCAAATATTTAATAGAAGAATATAAACATACTTTTATTATGAGTAATTTAATTGAAAAAATAATGAAATAAACTATAAATCATTGAAAGCTGATTTTCTTTTGCATGATAATAAAAACTATTTACTTATGAAGATATTTTATAGACCCATCAAACCCAATTACCATCTTTTTTTAACAAGAGAGCAGATAAAAGAAAAATATGGTCGACTTATGGTTTATTATAATTATGCAAATATAAGTGATGTGAATATTATGTGAATGATTCCAATCACTTCATATTTTATTCGAGATGCACATAATGTAATTTTGTAATATTAGAGCTTCATTACAATGTGCTTATGATATAAACAAATAGAAATTGGGAATCATGGGCAGATTAAGAACTTTTTTCATATATACCTTTGCAATTATATAAAGAGATGTTTTTGTATAGAACCAACATGGAAATTTATTTGGCTTTGAGATCTTACACAAGATACAAAACTCGTTACAGTGAAAAAATAACACTGATATAAAACTACAGTAATTCTTAAGATATTTTTACATGAAACTAATAAATTTGAGTTGCAATTAAATTTGGACAATATTCACATACAGTCGACCTCAAAAATAATATAACAAAAAGAAAATCGTGACATACTTTCTGAAATAATATACATGTATACTTTTGTGCGTACATGTTGTATTGTTTTATTTTATATTATTTAAATTATGTTGAAATTAGAGCAATTATTATTGAAATACAAATTAAATTAGCGGAAATTATCAAGCATGGCGTCTAATGATTGAGCATATTGAATAACATTAAGTTAATTAAATAATTCGAATTTTTAAAAGTCTTATCTGATAAATTATTATTAAAATTCAATTTAAATTAGCGGAAACTGTCAACTTCTAACTGTCAAACATGGTGTAGAGGCAAAAAGTATATTTTATATATTTTTTAACTGTATTTTCGTTAAACACATTGAATAACAACAAATTAATTAAATAAATTCAAATTCTTGAAGTTGTATATCATATTTACATTATAGTTTCGTAATTAAATCAATTAATATTAAAATTTAAATTAAATTAGCGGAAACTGTCAACTTCTAACTGTCAAACATGGTGTCAAATTTAAAATTCATAATTTATAAAATTAATCAAATTTATTAAAATTTGAAATTTATATTTTTTTAAGCCGTATTTTCGTTGAACACATTGAATAACATTAAATTAGTTAAATAATTCAAATTTTAAAAGTCTTATATAATATTATTTACATTATAATTTCGTAATCAGATAAATTATTGTTAAAATTCAATTTAAATTAGCGGAAACTGTCAACTTCTAACTGTCAAATATGGCGTAGAGCCAAAAATATATTTTAACTTTTGAACCCTATTTTCGTTAAACGCATTGAATAACATTAAATTAATTAAATAATTCCAATTATTGAAGTTTTACCCGATATTTACATTATAGTTCTGTAATTAGATAAATTATTTCTAAAAATCAAATTAAATAAGCGGAAACTGTCAACTTCTAACTGTCAAACATGGCGTCAAATCAAAAACCTATTTTTTTTTAAACCACCCGAATAAAATTAAATTTTGTAAATCTTTCAAAATCTTAATATTTTTTCTGATATTATTTTAATTATAAGTTATCTATATTTAAAATTCAAGTAAAATTTGCACAAACTATCGACTTCAAACTGTCAAACATGGCGCTGAGTCAAAAATATATTTCTAATCCTTTAAAAAATATTTATTCGTTTATACTATGCGTTTATACACATTTGATATAATCAAATCATTTGAGTTTATAATATTTTAACTTAAATTAATTGTGATTTTGTAATTAGATCTTTTATTAAAATTCGAATATTGCACAAATTGTTAACTTCATACTGTCAAAATGACGCCGATTCAAAAACGAATATTATTTACATTATTATTATTTATTATTATGTATGCATACATTATTTTTTTTAAAAATCGGATAAAATTAAATAAATTAATAACATTCTTGAAGCTTTTAAACAAAAATTAAATTTTTGTACTTAATAAAAATATAGTTATATTTAACAGTTGCCATTTTGACGACAGTTTTGACATTTGGTGCGGACGATTTCGTTTCTAAATAATAAACACGAATAAAATGAATAAAATAATATTAAAGAATTAATAAAATATTAAAAACTCTGTATTTATAAAATATATCCATAAAGTTTTTATTTGAATAGTGGACATATAAGAAAACTTAAAATATTGAGTGAAATATGATAAAATCTTAAGCAACATCACACATTAATGAATCACATTAGATTGCAAATAAATTAATAAATACCTACATTATTATTACTTTAGTGCTAAATAATTTGCATATAAATTATGTTATAAAATGGGCATAGAAAGTTCTCACATGAATGGCCTACAGTTAGAAGAAAAAGCCATCGAAACAACAGACTACTGGACTTTATATTCTGCTTCCAATGGCGAAACAAAACTATCAATTTTCAAAAGCAAAACAGGCATACACGGTCAATCATGGACACTGGAAAAGATGACAAAGAACCTGATGCTGCATCGGCATCCATTCATCTTGAAGTACGTATCATCCTGGAACAAAGGTACAGATTTTTATTTAGCAGTTGAAAGTGCCAAGCCTCTTCATTTATACCAGAATCAGTTATCGAGTATACAGATATGTCTGGGATTGAGGAATGTAATAGGTGCTCTAGTGTTTTTGCACGAGCAGGCACATGCTTTTCATAATAATATATGTATATCCAGTATTTATGTAACGCAGAATGGTACTTGGAAGTTGGGTGGTTTGGAGTTTTTGATGGCAAAGTCAAAAATGACTGCAGAGTTTTTGGCTAAGTCTAAGGGGTATAGATACACGAAATCTATTGATCCTGATGAAGAGAAGAATAATGGGAGCGGTTGTGATCAGTATGCGTTTGCAAACTTGGTTTTGGATTTGCAGAAACATTTAAAACATGATGATGTAGCTGGTTTTGATGAGTTTAGTAAATATTGTTCGGCGCATTTGAAACATCAGAATTTTGTGATGAGACCACAATTTTCATCGTTACTTCTGCACCCTTTTTTTAACCATGATATAATTATGTTGCATTCGTTTTTAAGTGACTTGCCTATAAAGTCTAACAAAGAAAAAACTGAATTTTTTAAAAAGTTGCATGGGGTTTTGATGTCTTTGGATGAACAAGAAACAGCAACACATCTGGGTGAGCTTTTGATATCAAGAATGGTGCTTTTAGATTTAACTGCACAAGAATTCTTGTTACCATATTTGTTTAATCCAAAAACAAAAACAAATCCTGATGGTTTATTCACAGAACCAGTATTTAAATCTATTATAGCACCCAAATTGTTAAACGTATTTAGGGTTAGAGACTTGCAGATCCGCATGATACTTTTGCACCACTTTCCAAGTTTTATAAAGTTATTCAAAAAAACAGATTTACAAGAACATATTTTACCAGAGCTTTTACTCGGCATAAAAGACAGTAATGATGAGTTAGTTGCTTTAACACTGCGCTCTTTAGCTGAACTGGTGCCTTTATTAGGCTCTTCTGCTGTTATAGGAGGTAAAAGAGAAAAATTATTCTCCAATGGCAAACCAAAAGATTTAGTACCGATAGAAAAATCTTCAAACCTAACCTTACTGACAAATACTGAACGCCCATCACCCGATGGCGAAGAAGACCATTGTGTCAACAATTCAGTATCCAAAGACACCGAAGACTGGAAAGACTGGGATAACGATCACAAAATATCAGAACCCACTCCTATTATCGAACAAAAACCAATAGTTATTAATGATATATTAAATTTAGATATAAAAGTAAATAAATCAAAGCCCGTTGAACAAGATAATGAATTAGATTTGTTCCATGATATGGAACCAGTTATACAAGCATCGAATGTGTTTTTAGTTGATGAAGTTGCAAAAACTAATTTAGAACTGAATAGTTTTGCTTCAAATAAATTTGAGGTGTCCAATACGTTGGTGGATGATGGCTGGGACGACACAAGTAATTGGAGCGAATAATAATATGTTATATTATTTATATATGTATGTATGTATGTAATCACAGACATTTTATTAATACACACAGATATAATTATTTACAATGCGTTATTAGTACAAACTAGGTGTAAGTAATCACAAAAAATCAAAAATGAAAATTTTTTGCATATTTTCACGTTTCAGAGGTTTCTTAAACATTTTGGCATACTTTTGAAAAAATGGATGTGTGTATGTGTGTTTTTCTTGCATTTACGCATCCCAGACTAGGTCTTTTGTCTGAGTATGTCGGACTCAATACCGCCTGGGTTTAATACCGACTAAAACCTCCGCTTTGCCATTGCTTCTGGTCCCCACGAAAACCGCCCTTAGGCATTACCTCGTGGGGGGAGGATCTAGAATGTTATCATTCTTACACTGATTTTATACTCATCTTTTAAATGAGTGAAGTCCCATTCGTTCTTTCTTTTTCGTTCAAAAAAATTGATGTATGTGTGTGTGTGTATGTGCGGATAGCATTTTTCGTCCACGATTTTGAGTGCACGGATCAACCGATTTGAGTAATTCAATTCAAATTCGATTCTTATTGACAAGGATATGTATATTCAATTATCAGACATTATATAGAGATTTTAAAAAGAGCACAAATTTTAATTTACACCAGTAGACTGCGAAGCAGCGCTTACGCGCTTCTATATTTTGTCTCTAAAATAGAACGCAAACAGGATTACTCACAATCAGAAAAAAAGTTAAAAATTTTCAAAACATGGAAAAATTTCTGAAAGTCATTTTTTTCTAAATTTTCTAAAATCTAATATTCCAAGGTTTTTTTTAAAAAAAAATAAGCTTTTTTAAAAATGTTAATTTTTGGTACATAAAGTTCCAGCAATTTGCCTGAGGGCACTATGCATAACTAGTTAGTTCAAACTCGGTCAAAAAATGACAATTTTTGCATATCTTTACGTTTCACAGGTTTCTGAACATTTTGGCATACCTGTATGTGTATGTGTGTGTATGCGCGGATACAATTTTCGTCGACGTTTGTGGGAGCACGGATTAACCGATTTGAATGATTCAAAAAACATTCGATTCCTGTTGATAGGGAGACGTACTGATTAGTTTTTGGCAAAGGCAGGTCCAGCAGTTACGGAGATAAAGAGCAAAGAGTGCAGAAAATAGAAATCGAGTTTTTGAGAGAACGGAGAATCCGATTAGAATGATCAAAAAGTTTTCTGTTCGTTGGGAAGACAAGCATTTAAGTCTTTAGAAAAAGCAGGTCTCGCCGTTTCAGAGATTCAGAGCAAAAAGTGCAGAAATTAGCGGTTTTTGAGAGAACAGTTTATCCGATTAAAATGATTCAAAAAGCATTCTGTTCGTATTGATGGAGAGACGTGCTGATTAGTTTTTTTTTGAATAGGCAGGTCCTACCGTTTCGGAGATGCAGAGCAAAAAGTATTAAAGTCAGCAATATTTGAGAGAACGGTTTATCCGATTAGAATGATTCAAAAAAATTTTGCTTGTATTGACTGTGTGAAGGCAAAAAATTATTTCTTAATTTCAAAACAAAGAAATAAATAAATATGAGAATAATATGTCAATAAAAAAATGTTAAAAAAAACAGATTGTGAATTGAATCTTGAGAAATAAAAGAAATGATTCGAAAATATTCGAATTTTAATTTCAGTTCTAACTAAAGTTCTAAAACTCACTTATATACTTCAAATAAATAATTTTATCTTTGCAATTCAGTTTATATAATTCTTAAAAATATGAGATAAGGTCCTTCATTCTAACCATTCTAACTCCACTTTATCAAATTTTGTTTATTTACTTTTCAGGTAAACATATATAAACGTTGTTGTCTAATTCATAAGCTCTTATATATTGACTCTAAAATACGAATAATAAAAGTTACGGTATTTATAATAATATATTTGAAAACATTTAATACTCTTAGAATATAACATTACGGTGCGGGAAGTTCCAGCAATTTGCCTCAAGGCACGATGCCATACACCACTAGTTACAAATTATTTTTACGTGACATTTAATTTTGACAAAAGAATATTGACATTTGCCAAAATTTGGCATCAAAATTTTAAGTATCAATTATTAATCGTTAACAATGTCTTGAGTGTTTTATCCACAGTTTTTGCATATTTTTTATAATTTTCTACAATGAATGAACTTTTCGAGCTGCAATTCCAGAGGTTGCCGAGAACAGTGGTTCCTATTCATTACAACATTCAGTTGCAACCATGTCTGGACAAAACCACATTTCATTTCGAGGGAAAGGAATCGATAGAGATTGCTGTAAGATTAAAAGGGCAATTCTGCCGTAACATAAACGATAAGATTTTTTTTTATTTAATTTATTCTGCAATCAGTTTTATATATTCATTAACATTAAGCAGAGATTACTAACAATAATTATCATATAATATAAACAAGAAGATAGTAGCAACACCCAGCGGCGTGTCTACTAGGTATATATATATATATATATATATATATATATATATATATATATAACACATGTTAATAAAAAAATAATAATAAAATAAAAAGAAAAGAAAGACAAAAAAATAAACGATAAGATAGCGTCTTCATGGCAACGCTCTCCTATCCTTGTTCTTGGTATTGAAAATTATGGAAATGTCTATCTGTTTGCCGTGCGATCAGGCGTATTTTACATATAAACAAGCAAGGGAGAATGTTATGATAACTGCATCATCTAGAATTCTGTTATCATAACATTATTCCTTGCTTGTTAACTTCCCGTAGGGTAAGTTATTGTAATCGTTCAAAAATCGAAAATGAAAATTTTTGCATTTCTCGACGTTTTGAAGGTTTCTGAACATTTTGGCATACCTCTTTGTCAGAAAAAATGGATGTGTGTGTGTTTTGTATGTCCGCATTTTTCCTCCACGTTTTCGGGCGCACGGATCAACCGATTTGAATGGTTTAAAAAACATTCGATTCCTATTGATAGGGAGATGTGCTGATTAGTTTTTGGCAAAGGCAGGTCCTGCCGTTAAGGAGATACAGAGTTGAATTTGCAAAAAATGGCAGTTTTTGACTGAACTAAGCGCCCGATTTGAATGATCTAAAAAACTTTCTGCTTGTATTGACAAAACAATTGCTTTTGAGGATAAAAAATTATTACATCTTTTTTTATTTTCCATAAAATATTTTTGTAATTTTAGATTAAAAATTCAAAAAATGACCCAGGCTAAGCACAGTCTAAGCGTCACTCTGGTACAAATGTTTACCCAAGTGCGTTTAGACTGTTTATGTTGGAGCACTTTTCGAATTTTGTGAAAACTATTGAAAAATGTGAAAATGCCGCCAAGCTAAGCACAGTATAAGTGCAAATGTTGCACAGAATTGTTTGCAAATGCGTTTATACTGTGACTATACGGGAGCACTTTTTCAATTTTGTGTAAATTAGGCAACTATTTTTTTTTTAAATTGAATTCGAAATGAAATGACGATTGTTAATGTTCTGGAGATAAATTGATTTATGATTTATGATTTACATTTGATTTGCTCAGATATAACAAGATAGCAGAAATAATGAAAGTTACAGTATTTGTAATAATATATATTTGAAAACGTTTAAAATTTCTCGAATATTTCATTGAGAAACGGGAAGTTCCAGCAATTTGCCTTAAGGCCCGATGCCATACACCACTAGTTTTTAGATTCTTTTCAGACCCTTACTAGATTATTTTCAGAAGATTCTTATTAGATACGTATAAGATTTTTATGAGATCATTACTAGATTCTTAGAAGATTAGAAGATTCTTCTTACGTTTAGGGTTCTTATAAGATCTATACTAGATTTTATATTAGATATTTCTTACGAGATTCTTAAACGATCCTTACTAGATATTTTGTAGATTCATCTGACTACTCATTTGAGATCCTTGGATGCTTCATGCAAAATTGAGATTATTTTTGGATTCTTGCAAGATTCCTATTGGATTCTTTTTACATTCTTGGTGTAATCATATTAGATTTTAATTCTAACAATATTTAGATAACTATTTGTAATAATATATTTGAAAACTTTTAAAATTTCTCGAATATTTCATTACGGTACGGGAAGTTCCAGCAATTTGCCGTAAAATACGCCTGACCGCACAGCAAATAGATAGACAATTTCATAATTTTTACTACCAATAAACAAGCATAAGATTGCGTTATCATGACAACGATATTTTATGACCTCTGTTACGGCAGAATAGCCCCATAAATTTGTGCAAAAAACGCCGAATTGCACTAATTCTTGGTCCTTGTAGATTTTGGATTCGGTGCAAAGAATAGTCCTTAATTCGGTGCAACTGCATATCAAAAGTGTTGTTTTGCACAGGGAAGACGAGGAGGATATCGAGCCGGAAATCACATACAATGATTATGATGAAATTATAACACTGGACTTTAAAAAGAAGTTGCCTATTGGTAGAGGTGCTTTGTTATTTGATTACAGTGGGTTGCTTAATGAAAAACCGAAAGGTAAGGAGAATTGATTAAGGGGCACAACTACAGGGTCCGGCACTCGAAGTGTAACCAATTGAAAGAGCCATAAATTCAGTTTGGAAAATCAATTTTACTCGATTCAAAGTACAAAATGTGTAAAAATAATACAAAATTTAAGAACAATTTACTTTTGCTCGACATGACCACCTTTTGCTTTGACTATGGCCTTTAGACGGTCCAAATACAAATCGCATTTGGCCGAACGTGATTTGCAGGTATTTTGGCCCACTGGCGGACAACGGCTTTTTCTAGCGCCTCGAGACTGATGCACCCCTTAGTTCGGACCTTGCTCTCCGAAATGGCCCAAAGAAAATAATCCATAGGATTCGCGTGTGGTGAATTTGAGAGCCATTGTGCGGACGTTTTGAAGTTCGGAACGGTGTTTTTCAGCCATTCTTGGTTCACTCAAGCTTTATGATACGGTGCCGAGTCCTGTTGAAACGTCCATGGTCTGCCACCGAAATGTTGATCTGCCCATGGCTTCAAAGCAAGCTTCAGAATACTTTCCCGATGATATCGCACATTTACCTTGACGCCAGGCTCGATGAAAACGATTGGAGATCGCCCATCTGCGTTTACAGCGGGCCAAACCATTATCTGTGGCTGGTGTTGCCTCCTGGTGGCCAGTCGATGGCTCAAATTCTTGTCTGAACGTTCAGTCAAGTAAACCCTATCGTTTTGAGAGTGTGCGAATTGCTTAATTATGAAAATTTTCTCGTCGGAAAACACAATGTTCGGAAATTTACCACTCTCGGCCAGGCAAAGCAACTCCTTAGCTCTCTGAAGTCTCACTTGCTGCTGCTTCGACGTAAGATCATGTGCCTTTTGGATCTTATGAGGCTTGACCTTGAGATCATTTTTCAGTATGCGGCGGATGCTACGGTCAGATGTATTGAGTTCTTCTGCCATTTAATTGGCACTTCGTCGGGGATTTCGCTCGAGTCGCTTTCTCACTTTTTTGACCATCTCATGTGACATTGCAGTCTTTTGGTGACCACCTCCATGACGTTTTGCGATGCTACCAGTTTCATTGTAACGAGTTATGGTGCGATAAGCGAAAACTTTATTCACTTTAAGGTGTTTGAGCCCTCGAACAATCGCTGGTTGTGATTTTCCAGCTAAATATAATGTAATCACACTGTTACGTTTGAAATCCATTACTGATTTCTTTTTTTCGCGTTCACTGTCGACTAAATACTTTCGTACGCTTATAAACAATAGACTAAACTATCATTTAGCTAACTTACTGACAGTTGGTACACGTGCATCAGCTACGCGAGCTGTTTGAAATTGGTTACACTTCGAGTGCCGGACCCTGTAGTGTAACCGTCTAAAAAAAGGTGATTTTTGGGAATTTATATTAAAAAAACTACTTTATCAATCATTTCAAAATTTTAAGAATATATTTACACATGTTTACAGAATACATAGTAAAATTTTTGAAGAAAAAAATTAAATATTTTTTAAGTTATCGTCGATCTACAACGGCGCGACAAAAAGACCCTTCACTGCTGCAGTGATTCCGGCCTTCTACGTGGATGAAATTAAAAAAAAAAATTCTCGTAAAACTAGATAATATATTGTCTGTAAAATGAACTACGATAAAAAAATCAAAGATTGACAAAATAGCGGCGTTTTTTAAAAAAAAGTCGAATTTTACCCAGAATTTTGGTCGTTTTTGGACTGCCAAAATTCGATTTTTGATCCGATCAAAAAATGTGATAGGTCATTTTACGGAGAACTATATATAGAACATGTAAAAAAAATTCGATAGTGATCGGATCATTTGTTTTTGAGTAATCGCTGCAGCAAATTCGGAAAATGCTATTTCGAGAAAAACGTGTTTGAAAATAAAATGATCATTATACTATATACTATATTATATATACTCTTTAAATACTATATTATATATACTCTTTAAATGGCTGTGATTGAACTATTTAAGATATCGATTTAAAATTTGGGTATGTTATTTTTAAAGGTATAACCTATCGAAATATGAAAAAATTGAAAATTCGATTTTTTGAAAATTTCACACTAGGTGTGCCCCTTAAGGAAAATTGCGACTGGCATCTAATATTTACTTCAATTGGAGTTTCTTGTTTCAGGTTTTTTCAGAAGCACCTACACAAATTTCGAAGGCAAGACAGCCTACGCAGCCTTAACCCATTTCGAGACGAGTGATGCCCGAAGATGTTTTCCTTGCTGGGACGAGCCCTCATTCAAGGCCACTTTTACGATCATTCTTTTGGTTCCACAGGTAAAGATATAATTAACTAGTGGTGTATGGCATTGTGCCTTAAGGCAAATTACTGGAACTTTCCGTACCGTAACGAAATATTCGAGAAATTTTAAACGCTTTCAAATATATTGTTACAAATACTGTTTGACTTTCATTATTTTTGCACTATCTTGTTATATCTGAGCAAATCAAATGTAAATCATAAATCATAAATCAATTTATCTCCAGAACATAAACATCAATCGTCATTTCATTTCGAATGCAATTTCAAAAAAATAGTTGAGTTGCCTAATTTGCACAAAATTGAAAAAGTGCTCTGGTATAGTCACAGTCTAAACGCACTTGCTAATAATTCTGTGCGACATTTTCACTTAGACTGTGCTTAGTTTCACAAAATTGGAAAAGTGCTCCAGCACATAAACAGTCTAAACGCACTTGGGTAAACATTTGTACCAGGGTGGCGCTCAGACTGTGCTTAGCCTGGGTAATTTTTTGAATTTTTAATCCAAAATTACAAAAATATTTTTTGGAAAATTTAAAAAAGATGTAATAATTTTTTATCCTCAAAAGCAATTGTTTTGTCAATACAAGCAGAAAGTTTTTTAGATCATTCAAATCGGACGCTTAGTTCACTCAAAAACTGCCATTTTTTGCACATTTAGCTCTGTATCTTCGAAATGGCGGGACCTGCCTCTGCCAGAAACTAATCACCTTTTCTCCCAATCATTATGATGATCAATCATTATGATTTTTAGATCATTCAAATCCGATACTCCGTTCACTCAAAAACTCGATTTGTATTTTCTGCACTCTTTGCTCCTTATCTCCGTAACTGCTAAACCTGCCTTTGCCAAAAACTAATCAGCACATCTCCTTATCAATAGGAATCGAATGTTTTTTAAACCATTCAAATCGGTTGATCCGTACGCCCGAAAACGTGGGCGAAAATTTGTATCCATACATACATACACACACACACACACACACATCCATTTTTTCTGAAGTATGCCAAAACGTTCAGAAACCTTCAAAACGTCGAGAAATGTAAAAATTTTCAATTCCGATTTTCGGCCCATTACAATAACTTACCCTACGGGAAGTTAATAAAAAAGGGACTCTACTTACGAGCAAACTGAAACGATAGACAGAGTAAGAAGGAATTTTACTGTCGAGCAAGGTGTATTTCCGAAATAAAATAGAAAAATTTTGACCTTTTGTCGACGCTTTCTTAAAAACTGCTGAACCGATTCAAAAATTTTAAATTTTTTCGGGTAGTTCATGCAATTTGCCCTAAGACAAAATGCCACTTACACCTAGTTTATATTACTTTCAGGGCTACACAGGAATATCGAACATGACCGTCAAATTTGGTGTCAAACAAGGAGACTTCAGGTGCATCGAGTTCGATCCAACTCCTCCTATGTCGACATATATGTTGGCAGTAGTCATAGGTAAAATTTAATAAATTAAAAAAAAATCTATTCGTAAATAATTATTTTGTTCTTTTATGATATATATTTAGGTGAGTACGACTACGTGCAACTTTTGAGCAGTGACGGCGTACGTGTCAGGGTCTACACACCTCTTGGTAAAAAAGACTTTGGCAGATTTGCAGTCGGAGTCACATCTAAAGTCTTACCGTACTACAAGGAATTTTTCGACATGAAATATCCACTACCAAAGGTAACGAAGACTATTTGGTATTGGTATTTTACCTTGAGGCAAATTACATAAACTTCCCGATATGTGTAATTAATCGACTTAACAAATAAAAAATAAATTAATTTATGAGTGATTAGAAGTATTCCGAGTGGATTTATTACACATAATTGAAAACGAACGAACATGTTAATTCGGAGTATTTTCTAAAAGCTCAATTTTTTAAAAATCAATCATTTTTATAATTGAACCAGTTTTTGTAGGACTTTAATGGTTCAGTATGTTCATTAAGACCAAGTACTCTATCGTTATATCAAGTAAATCGTCTAATTTTAATTTTAACAAACGTCAAAAAAACTACTCATTTTCTCAAACTATGATGAATTTTTAAAATTAAACTACTTGTCATAAGGCCGTAATATTTCAGTAAGTACTATAAGACCATCATATATGTCAACAAAAGTTCCATAAAAATCGGCACAATTTTTTTTTCAACAGTTAATTACAAGAAAACGGCTCGGTAGATTTTCACCTAATACTAATCAGTATCATTCTCAACTAATATCTTTCGAACGGTTTTCGATTTTTTAAAATCGATTCGGTAGTATGAGCTTAAATGTAGACGAAAAATTTAACACTTTTTATTAAATTACAAAGAAACGGCTCGGCAGATCGTCGTACAAAATTGACAAACGATAGTCCTCATTGAGATACATTAAATAGCTTTTAAATTTCTGAGATCGGTTCAGGCGTTTTTGAGAAAACGTCGATCAAAAGTCTAAGTTTGACAAATGCTAAAAAAAACGATACCAATTTTTGCAAACTTTGACGAATTTTTAAAGTTAAACGAGTTGTCGTAGGGCCGTAATATTTTAGTATGGTCTAGAAGACTATGGTATCTACCGTCAAAAAAATAATAATAAAAATCGTTGAAAAATATTTTTTTACACTCTATTATAAGAAAACGGCCCGGCCGATCTACCAAAAACTAATCAGCACGATTCCCAACCAATATCTTTCGAACGGTTTTTGAATTTTCAAAATCGATTCAGAATTGCGGGCTGAAACGTGGATGAAAATTTTTTCACTTTTCTGCTATTTATAAAGAAACGGCTTGGACTATCATCGCACAAAACTGATAAACAATAGTCCTCATCGAGGTGCATCGAATGGCTTTTAAATTTTTGGAATCAGTCCAGCCGTTTTCGAGAAAACGTCGATTTACAACAAAAAATCTGTTCACATACACAGACACACACATATACATACACACACACATACTTTTGGCTTGAAACGTCGAGAAAACATAAAATTAGCGAATCGGATTTTTTGATGAAAAAATAAACTTCTCCTTCGGGAAGTTAAAAACCATCAGTCTATGAATGCATATTAATTTTAATTACATGAAATTCTTCAAACACAATTATTACATGATGAGTGAAGTTGCAAGAACAATATTCGTTTAGGCGTTGTTTAACATAATCCACTGTGTGAACGAATATTATAGAATTTATTAATCATTTAAATTACTTCATTTCTTTAATGAAAGTTCAAGTTCTAAACGCTAATTACAATGACAAACCGATCATGTCGTATTTGAAGTATGGCTTTAATTACATTATTGTTTTTAAATTTTATACACATTTTGAATGCTATTATAAATATATAATTTATAATTTATCATTATATAAATGTGTATAATGATTGACACTAATAAATGTGTGCATCACGAGTGTTGTCATATTACTAATGAACATTATTCTAGATTGTTGTATGATGTATTTATTTTTACTTAAATGCCATCTTGTACAGTAGCAAATAAGTTTTACTTCAATCGCGTGTGAACCTTACGCACACTCTTTTCTTTATTTCCAGCTTGATCTGGTCGCCGTCCCCGAATTTCCAGCCGGTGCAAGCGAATGCTGGGGCCTGCTGGCATTCAGAGATTCCGCCCTTCTCCTGGACGAAGTCAACGCGAGCGATACGACAAAACAGTGGTGCTGTCTATTGTTGGCGCACGTAGCTGCCACCCAATGGTTCGGAGGAATGGTGACACCGAGCTGGTGGACCGAATCCTGGATGTACGAAGGATTTGCGCAGTATGCAGAGTTTTTGTGCATTCAACAAGTAAATAGAAATACTGATATCTACATATATATAAAAATAAGTCGGGTTTCCCTTTCTGACGTTAAAACTCCAGAACGCACGAACCGATTTCGACAATTTTGCATTCGTTGGAAAGGTCTCGGGCTCCGGAAGGTTTATAGCCAAGAAAATTAGTTGTGCATGGCATCGTGCCTTAATGCAAGCTGCTGGAACTTCACGCACCGTAATTAAAAATTCGAGTAATGACATTAGTGAGAATTATCAGAATTATGCTTGGTTAGGTCAACAAACAATTCTTGCCGCAAAGAATAATTATGTACACGCACTAAATTTCACCATTCAATCAAAAATTGCTGGCGATTTGGTGACATACCAATGATTCCGACTGGTCTTCCGTTTGACTTCAAACGATTGCAATTTCCAGTTCGCCTTGCGTTCGCAATGACAATTAACAAGTCGCAAGGCCAATAGCTTAGTGCTTGCGGGATAAATTTCAAATAGATTATTTAAAAAATCACTGTTTTTCACGTGGGCAGTTATACGTTGCCTGTTCACGAGTTGAAAAACCATCCGCTTTGTTTGTGTTAACGTCAGACCAAAAAGCAAAAAATGTGGTTTACCAAAGAGCACTTCAATGAAATGGATAATTTGCAAATTCACTTTCATTTACGGAGTTTATCGGGTTTGCTAGTTCTTATATCTAAAAATGAAGCTCTCGATAAAATGATCCGTTAAAACTCGAAAACGGCTAAACCGATTTGGCCAATCTTAAATCGTGCTAAACAGTAGGTTGTCGGAGAGGTGAGATTTTATTTCAAAATCGCGTAGATCGCGTAGATCATTTACATTTTTAATTTGAAAGTTTTTGTAGAAGCGTAATTTCAATAAAAAAATGGACGGTGGCTAATACGTCAAATGCCAAACGTTTTTTACATTGGTATTTATAAAACATTGTCTAGGTTATATTATTTTTTATTCATGTTATTTTAATTCAGAACCTAAATCTGGTATCGATCAAAGAGACATTTTCCCGAATAACATTTTCCCAGTTATATTATGTTTGAAAGTAGAGGGAAAAAGATGTCTAACCAGCTATAACCTTGATTCGTGCTATCGGGAAATAAACAGTAATCTTTTAAAATCTATAATAAAAGTATTTACTTCTGTTGGTAGTTTTTTTAGCATTAGTTAAGAATGTAATTATTTTGTAAAATACCTTTAAAATTAAAATAAGACATTGAACTTGTTTGCCATGTGGCCGTTCCAAGTTACCCCTCCTATAGGGTAAAAAGGTCTAAATAACAAATTTTTGAAAGACATAAAAAAAGTTCATTTTTCTAATGATGAAGTAGCTGGCAGTTTTACTGTACGTAGTCAGATAATTGTTCGGTTGAAATGTGTTATTTGTTGTGATATAATTGTTATGGTTTTCACAATATAGTTCATATTTGCTCAAAGTCAAATTGGACTTTTGTGCCTCACCCTGCTCTGCATATATACTTTTTATTAACTTTACTTTTATTCATCGAATGTTACTTGAATGTTTTTCAAAAAGCACGTCAAGGAAGAAATACATAATTTATTTTCTATCTCTCCTCGCAGAAATTCGAATTTTTTTAATAAGCTCAGTAGTATTATTTACAATTATACACAAAATTCAGAATCCAAAAAGAATCTGAAAAACTTGAAACGTAATCAATAAGTCAAAAGACCAAAAAAGACTTAGATTAAATCATGTTTTCTATAGAAAGTGTACAAATCTTCCAGTTTGATTGTATTGACAAAATATAGACAGACTAATGGGGTTTATTGTTTTTATAATACCTCATTCTATATAGCATTCAAACAGCACATCCTTATACACTTAAAGTATTAATATTTTTGATTCTCTAGAAATTGTTTAGAATATACCTTACTTAGCAAAACAACGTTTGCCGGGTCAGCTAGTAAGTATATAATTATGACATTTGTTTATGTTTGTAATGGTTTTTAGTTGTATCCAGAGTATGCGGTGTCCAGTCAGTTTCTGCAGGATACTGCCTGGCGTGCCTTAGATGCAGATTCTTTGAGAATTGCAAAACCTTTGCTGAATCATCCTTCGGATCCTATTGAATCTGTTCTGGACGATTCTTCAACTGATAACGAATTGAGGAGTGATAAGGCTGCCACTTTAATGAGGACACTGCACTCTTACGTAGGTTAGATTGATCAGCATTTTAGTAACAAATATCATATATATATAAAATTCTTCTGTAATGATGTATGAACGGATATTCTACTTAAACGATTATTCGGATTTTGATAAATCTTTCTGAAGTTTGTTAAGGGAATGTTTTTAAGATTTTTGAATTATAGAAATATAGTTAGATTGTAGAAATAAGTGGAAAAAATTACAAAAAAACGCTTATCATTGTTTGACATTGAAAATATTTGAGGCATTGTTTGGCATTGAAAACAAAAACTGTCATCTGCCAAATGTTTTAATACACTTATGAGCTAAGACAATTTTAGAATATAATAAATTCATGATTATAAATAAGGAAAATGTAATGTCTACATTATTATTGACGAATAGCAGCTGAGATGTGGCAAAAATTAAAATAATATAAGATACAGTATATGTGTATGGCAGATGAACAGTCTGCGCATGCGTCTGACGGTTGTGGACTGTCAGTGAATATACCCTATATAATTCAATTTGACAGATTATTATTTTTTAACTAATGCAGTCGTTTAGAAATTAATGATATTATTTAAAAGTTTCATTGTGTCAAAAATTCAAAAGTTTGGCATTGGATACGAAATATTTACTCGAGTCAATGGAGCGTTTCGGGTTTGATTTTTTTTACTGTGCTCCAATTTGTATGAAATTTTGGAATTCGGTTCATCTTACATTCAAGTTCAAAAGTGAAAATAATTCAGACCACCAGGGGGATAACATTCCTTCTCAGTGGTGTAATTTTATTTTTTTTTTTCAAAATAATGTCGGATATCGATAAAAGCACTAATTATAAGAGAAAAATGTTTTATGATTTTCAAAAAAGCAAATACTTTTACTAAATCAAGTTACTGGTTACTGAAAATTCGTTTCTTTGGCGTTTTTCGTCGTTTTTTTTGCAAATATCTCCAAAATATACATTTAAATGAAAATCATGTAATGAACAAAATTATATCAATTAAAATCTTAATAAATCGGTGTTTTATAATGTGTTCTAGGAACAACATTGATGGATATAAAAAAGCAAAACCGATTTTTTATTTTGTTCGAAATTTAATTGTTATATTTGAAGCCATCTAGCGGCGAGCTGTTACATTTTATATATGTCATGGGGTTTTATAGTGCTCAAAATAAGCTTTAAAATGTGTACTGTTATGGGTCTGTTTTGTTTCATTTAAATCAAATAGTTTCATGTTTACCAAAATTACAATTATTGTATTTCATCTAGAATTAACTTGGTTCAAGAGATTCCAAAATATCACGCAAATTGGAGCACAGTCAAAAAATTCACAGGTTACACCCTTTTTTCTCTCCATTTACTGCACTAATTTCGTTGATCGTAGATAGAATAGAGCACATATGAACAGGATTTGATAAATTAATTCACTTAAAATATGAATTAATTCACTAAAAATATGTAATAATGTATATCAAATTATTATTAAGAAAAATTAATTTAAATGTTATTATTACTGAGAACAATTAATATATAGTACGAGATTGAGAAAAATTATAGGTAACATTATTGAAGCAATTATTTTGAGTGAAAAAATTCAAGGTTATATCGTATCTTTACCGCGGGCCGGACAACCCTTGATAAAAATAAATAGTTTTTTGAAGTAAATAGTATAGCACGTATTTTGTCAATTCCGCATTAAAAAAATTAAAATAAAGAAAATTAAATCCAAAATTAAAAAAAGATTTAAGGTAGGTCAACCCTTGATAAAAATAAAATGTATATTAAATTAAAATGTAAGCTTTCTTTTTAGGCGCAAAAGTCTAAACTAAAATTATGTCGAAATGACTGAACGGGGGATAAAAAATTATTGAATTACTAAAATTACTCAAATTAAAAAATAGGGGTTGTTTTTGAAAAAGTAAAAAATTAGGGTGGTATGTATTTTTAACACCACATTTAAAAAAAAACAATACAAAAAAGTTTAAAAATTTAAACCAAAAATTTAAGGGTGTACAACCCTTATCACTTAGATGTATGAAACATAGATAGTTACCAATTCTCAGGTCTACTGAATACGAATATGAAATTTGGTGAAAATCGTTAAGGCCGTTTCGGCGAATTTTATATATGATTCAACAGATGATTAAAATTTAAAGCCAATAAAGTATTAGTTCCGCATTATATTAATTAATGTTCATTCATTTTTAGGTGACAACAATTTCCACAAGGGCATCAACATGTTCCTGACCAAAAATAAATTCAACACGGCATCTTCCGGGGACTTCTGGAAAGCTTTAGAGGTAAATCACTAAACTTGAGTAATATTTACTGTCTAGATTTAAAATTTTGGAAAAATCTTCAATTATTTCTGTTTTTCAGTTTGTTAGCCATCTGCCAGTGGCCGAACTGATGTCAACCTGGACATTCCAACCAGGTTATCCTCTGATCAGAGTGTTCGAAGTTCACCAGGGCGAAACCAGAAATATCACTTTGACTCAGGAGAGATTCTTTTGCAGACGGCAAACCTGATACAGAACACAGACTGTGGCTTATACCGATTACCATTTCAACCAGCAAAAACCCAAATAAGGTAATAGAAATAATATTTTTATCCAAGAATAATTTCAGTTGTTTTAACAGATTTCTCTATCTAGGTTGCTCATTCAATCCTGATGGAATCTCCGACGTTAGAAGTTCAATTAAACAACGTATCACGCGGTGACTGGATCAAGGTGAATCCAGGTTGCACAGGATATTACAGGTGTGTCTATTCACCTTTTGCTGTCAGACACTTTTCCAAAGCTATCAAGGATGCCAGGTTGCCGCCCAACGACAGTTGGGACTGATGACGATATGTTGGCTTGTGCCAGGGCAGGATTTGTCGATACAGGAAATGTAAGATAGAAATGACTAGGGAATGCAATACAGATAGTAAATTTCAATACCGGTATTTCGGTAATTTTTTATTTTAAAACCGGAATACCGGTAAATTACCGGTATTTTCATTATCTTAAACAAACGTAAACAAAATTGAAAGTTACTAGTACAAATATGAAAAAATCTATATACAACCACAACTATATTCAACTAAACAATAAAATAAAACAATAAGTTTACTTTTTTTAAATAATAATTTAACAAAAGTATATGCAATTTAATTAATTCGTTATCACTATCGAGTATATTGAGTACTTTTCACCAAAAACAAACTTATGAGTAAGAAAGACCAAAAACTCATAAAAGATCATATTACATTATTATAATAAACTGTATTGTCTGTATCCGATGTGTTAAATTAGCATAATCTCCAATATTTAAAAAAAATATAATTTTTCTACACTAATTTAAGATCGGATACTTTGCCGAGATAAATAATAAGTTACTATAATTGATGAGTATTGTTATTTAAAACAATGTGATGCTTCTATAGTATTTTCAAACTTCGAAACGTTTTCGAAAAATAATCTTCTATATATATAAAAATAAGTCGGGTTTTCCTTCCTGACGATTTAACTCCAGAACGCACGAACCGATTTCGACAATTTTGCATTCTTTGGAAAGGTCTCGGGCTCCGCAAGGTTTATAGATAAGAAAATTAGTGGTGCTTGGCATCGTGCCCTAATGCAAATTGCTGGAACTTCACGCACCGTAATTAAAAATTCGAGTATTAAAAATAATCAATAATTGCAATTGTTTTAAATAATTGCAAATAGATTATCTTCTATATATATACAAATAAGTCGGGTTTTCTTTCCTGATCAAATTTTTCCTTTTCAAATATAAAACAAACAAAAAATTTTTTCATCTTTCTCACGAAACCATCTGGTGGCGAAACGCAGTTCGTCGGGTTTGCTAGTATTTTATAATTGTAATAAGAAGCAAAAATATTTAGTAATTATTATAATTATTATGTATAAAGTTAGAAAAAAATAAAGATTGCGCAGGGGTAATCTGTTAATCTGTATGATATAAAATATTTTGGCGGAAATATCACTTAAAAAACCGTTACATTTTTACAAAAGATCAAACAAACATCATTATCTGTCAGTCCAATTCTATTTATTGTAACACGACATGAAGACCTTTGGAAAGCAATAAATATTCAGTTTAATGACAAGTTGAGATAATATTTGACATTAGTTTATCTTATAGAATCACTTGAAGATACAGCTGTTTATGCGATTGTGGAATTTAATGATAAATTTGTTCCGAGAAATTTAAACTTTAGGGTATTATGTATCAAATAGCGCTTATGTAAAAATACCGAAAATACCGGTATTTTTTGGAATAAATACCGGTAAAAATACCGCTGAAAAATCGGCAGTTTACCGGTAATTCAGTATACCGGTATACCGCTATTGCATTCCTTAGAAATGACTATTATCATATGGTTTTATGGATGGAATGAATCGATTATTTTTTTCTGTAGCTTTTGCGTTTCATGGAATATTATTCTGAGGAATGCAATGCGGCAGTTTTGCAAGGGATGGCTGCATGTGTCGCTAAATTGCACGATATTGCTTCCTATACGCATTTGAGGGCTGAATTTGGAGCCTTTGCCAGGAGGTTGTTTGCTGATTGTTGTGGACTTTCTGCAGTCACTCAGGCACCCATATCAAGGTACACGTTGAGATGGTAGACACATTGTTATATTTAAATTGCATTTAATTAACTTTTTGTGGGGTAAGTTATATTAATCCCCAAAAATCGAAAAGGAATGTTTTACATATTTTTACGTTTTAAAGGTTTCTGAACATTTTGGCATAGCTAAAGGTAAAAAATTCGACTGGTAGAAAATTAGACTATTAGATAAGGAGAAAGGCAAAAAAATTGTCCGGTAAAAAATTAAACAGATAGATAATTAGACTTTTAGAAAGTTAGACATGTAGATAAAGAGATAATTATCTCTTTATTACATGTCTAACTCTATTAGGTAAAAATTAGACAGGTAGGAATTTAGACAGATAGGAAATAAGACAGGAGGATAATTAGAACAAATGAAACAGATGAATGATTAGGCAGGTAAGAAGTCATATGGGTAGAAAGTTAAAAATGTAGAAAATTAGACAGATAAAAAATTAGACAGGTAAGAGCTTAGATAGGTAGGAAATTATACTAGTAGATAATTATATAGGTAATTAGACAAAGAGATAACTAGTCATGTAAAAAATTAGGCAGATAGGAATTTAGACAGGTAGAAAATAAAAGAGGGGGATGATTAGAACAAATTAAACAGATGAATGATTAGACAGGTAAAAAGTTATACAGATAAAAAATTATATATGTAGAAAATTAGACAGATAAAAATTAGACAGATAAAAAAAATAGACAGGTAAGAGCTTTGATAGGTAGAAATTATACAGAAAGATAATAGTTAGGCAGGTAGGAATTAGACTGGTAATAAATTAGACAGATAGGACATTATACTAGTAGATAATTAGATAGGTAATTAGACATGCAGATAATTAGACAGGTATAAAATTAGACAAAGAGATAATTACGCAGTAAAAAATTAGAGAGGTAGGAACTTGACTGTAGAAAATAAGAAAGGGGAATAATTAGAATAAATTGAACAGATGAATGATTAGGCAGGTAAAAAGTTATACAGGTAGAAGTTTAAACATGTAGAAAATTAGACAGATAACTAGTGCTATATGGCATCGTGCCTCAAGGAAATGCTGGAACTCTTCCCGTACCGTAATGAAATATTGGAGAAATTTTAAACGTTTTTCAAATATATTATTACAAATACTGTAACTTTCATTATTTTTCTATCTTGTTTGTTATATCTGAGCAAATCAAATGTAAATCATAAATCAATTTATCTCCAGAACATTAACAATCGTCATTTCATTTCGAATTCCAATTCAAAAAAGTATTGCCTAATTTACACAAAAACAAAATTGAAAAAGTGCTCCATATATCCAGTCTAAACGCATTCGCAAATAATTCTGTGCGACATTTTCACTTATACTGTGCTTAGCTTGGGCTGCATTTTCACATTTTCAATAGTTTTCTTTCCACAAAATTGGAAAGTGCTCCAGTACATAAACAGTCTAAACGCACTTGGGTAAACATTTATACCAGAGTGGCCATAGACTGTGCTTAGTCTGGGCATTTTTTTGAATTTTCAATCCAAAATTACAAAATATTTTATGGAAATAAAAAAGATGTATACTTTTTTTATCCTCAAAAGCAATTATTTGTCAATACAAGCAGAAAGTTTTTTTTATTCAATCGGATACTTCGTTCTCTCAAAAACTCGATTTGTATTTTCTGCACTCTTTGCTTCGTATCTCCGTAACGGCTGGACCTGCCTTTGCCAAACACTAATCAGCACATCTCCCTATCAATAGGAATCGAATGTTCTATGAATCATTCAATCGGTGATCCGTGCGTTCGAAATCGAAAACAAAAAAAAAAGCGGACACATGCACTCACACACATCATTTTTTTTCTGAGGTTGCAAAACGTTCAAAAACCTTCAAAACTTGGGAGAATGCAAATATTTTCATTTTCGATTTTTGACGCATTACTATAAACTACCCTACGGGAGTTAATGATTAGACCATAGAAAATCAGACAGGAAGCTTAAGCAGGTAACAAGTAGTCAGTTATACAAATCATATACAAATTACATACCGTTGAG